CAGTGCTTGCTACCTACAATGATTTTTCTCAGAAAGCCATTGTATTATGTTTTGCCCCTTTTTCCTTACCTTTCACCTGGTGTTGTTCCAATGGACTTATGTTTCCTTTTCTGGTTGTTTTCTCCCTGATCTGACAGCCTCCTGTTTTCACCACTAGCTTTACCTGCTAAAGCCTCATTGTGTACATGTGTCACCATTGTTCAACCAATAGTGTATTCACCTAGCTACATGCAGACACCTCATGGTCTGTCCTTTGTACAGTATTTAGACTGTTGGCTCAAGTCCTGGAACCCCAGACTTGAGCTTCTCAATTATATGCAGCATTCTGCAGAATTTCACCCTCAGTTTCCCTAATCAGGACCACTCTTACTGGTGTTGCCAAATCCTTTGTTGCTTGCAGAGGTTACTGCAGCTGTTGCTCAGTAGAAACCTTAGACTGTGATCAAGCCTGAACAAGTCTACACAGCCTTTGGCCAAAGGTCACTGTTTAGTGAACCACCACAAACCCATGAAACAACTGTACATTGGGCACCAATGCAACCCACATGAGAAGAATCCTCCAAGGATGAACAGGAGAGCACTGTCACAGACACCTCCTTGAACAAACCAGAACATCCAGATAGAGGCTTTACCTCTGGTATCCTCTTGAATCTCTTTCCTCAGTCTCTCACCTCACTCAGTACTCCCATCCCACCTGTACCTACCCCTACCCCTACCCCTACCCCTGCACCTGCACCCCCATGTCAGAATATGATGTCTGGATCATTGTTGAAGGCTCCAGCCAACATTGCTTCCAAAGCAACTGAATTGAAGATCAGTGCTCCACCTCATTTTGATGGAGACCAAAAGACTGAAATGAGCTGGCTGTTCACAGCCCAGACCTATTTGATGGTCAATGAAGAAATTTATGACACAGACTCCAGACAGGTTGTCTATGAGAAGGGAGTCACTCACTCTTGGGCAGCAACCTTCCATAAAACCTCCCTTGAAAAGAACCCACCCAGATTTGGGTCATTTGCAGACTTCAAAACCACACTCAAAGCATTGTTTACCCCAGCTGACTCTGCAGGAGTAGCCATCTCCAAACTCCTGACCTTGAAACAAAAGAACTCTGTCAAATGGTATACCACCAACTTCTGCACTGCTGCTGCCAACTCTGCCATCACTGAGGATGTCACCCTGATCAAGTTCTTCTCTTAGCACCTCAAGACATCTGTGGCAAACTGCATCCATATGATGGATACCACTCTTACAAAAATCAGTGAGTGGTACAAACAAGTGCAGAAATTTGATGCCAAATGGAGAAAGGTGAACAAAATATCAGGAAAGAAGAATAAGAGGACCTTCTGCCCAAAAAATAACCTCTCCAAAGAAAAAGCTCCAAATGCCATGGACATGGATGGAGTAAGACTCTCCAAAGGGGAAAGAGACCAACACATCAAAAAAGGAAGATGTTTTGGTCATCGTCAAATATGGGTTTACCCTTGGATGACCAGGCTTCAAGTCCAGGAGACAGGGGCTAAGTTCAGTGGACTGGAGTTAAGGCTGGGAGACAGGGACCAAGTCCAGAGGTTTGGAGTCAAGGCCAGTGAAGGAAAATTATTTTGAGGGAGAGTGAGGGGAAGGGTGAAATCTGATGGGGGAAGTCTAGAGGGGCCTCTATAGCCTGAGCAAAGGATGGGAGACTGTCTAGGGCAGTCTGGGGCAGTCTTAAACTTGTTCTCATCTTGGGGGTAACTCATCCTTTGTTTCAAAAAAAGCCAACTACACTGAGCACTAGGCAGGGATGACCAAGCAACCAAAAAGTGAAATTCTAACTATGTTTAACAGAAAAATAGCTAGGACAAAAACTAAGTAAAACCAGCAAAACAAAGCAATTCCCCTAGTAGGGAAATTACATTCCCTACACTGAGAGCATGGGAAACTGACTGGTCTCAGAGTGTGCACAGGGGGAAGTGGGTCCAGGGTTGGATTCACCCCCCTTGGTCTCAGCTTATGTACTGTACCCTTATGCAAGCCAGGGAGAGGTCCAGGACAGGGGGCAGAGGATAGACTAAGGCTTGTCCTTAGCCATGGAGTAGACTCAGAGGGTAATACAGGGTTGAGGGTAATACTTAGGTGATATTCTGACAGAGTTGCTATAAAGTATGTACAGGGATTAAATACATGAGGTTGGTCCAGGGTAACAAACATAAAGCCAGACTTGTTAATAAGCTATTAGCAAGATGATTAGCAAGAGATGGACAGCCACAGGGGCTGTGCTGAGATGAATGGTTAAAGTCTGGGTGACCAGCATAACCAGACTTGGAACAGGCTTTGCACAGTAAGCAGAGGTCAGACAAGAGAACTAGACTAAATATAGCACAAGGGCTTTGGCCACCAGATGAAGTACCAGATGAAGATTGAGAAATCAAGCATGCATGTGCACAGAGAGTCAAGGGTACAAGAATGAGAAGGACAGTATAGAGAAAGTCCTGGTGAGCATATTGATATATAGTTTTCCTTAATACAAGTTTTGCTTCATGCAATGTCATCCAACTGAGTTGCACTACTCTTTAGGTGATTCTACTCACCCCAATGTGAATTTTCAAGTTTTTTTTCCCTTGTTTTCTTTAGTGCTAGATCACCTTAAGGATGAACAGTAATCAAGAGCACAATATGCATTTAAGGATAGTAAATACATGGCTGATCAAGATTTTTTTTAGGTACATATATGTCTTCAAGTTGCCTTGTAGAGGGTCTGCATCTGCTGTACCAGCTGCTGCACTGTGTGACCCCACTGCCATTTTGCACAAAAGACTGTGCCTTGAAGAGCAGTCTTTGACTCACTCAGCACTTGATTTATTACTCACTTGTTCATTTGCCTGGAGTTTATCTCCATTGTCATTTGGTTCAGGTTGTGAGGAGAGTGTCGAGGGGTCAGGTGTGTGCTTGGGACCAGGGGAACATTTTGTGGAGGAGGGGGAGTTGCATTTGAGGATGAGGAGTCCTGGAAAAGGAGGGGGGGCATGCTTGGATAGTGTGAGGTTAGATAGCAAAGTGTTGTGGCAAGGTTGAGGGAGTTTGAGGATGAGGGTCCATGGTGATGTTGAGGGAAGCAGGTGTGAGGACAAGGGCCTCTGTGCAAAGAGGAGAGTGACCAAGGATGGTCAAAGTCTAAACCACCCCTTGGATGTAGGGAATGGGAACTGATTCCCTATGAGAAGTTGTTTTGGTTGGGAGTTAGGGGTTGAGGAATTTTTGATTTCATTCTTTCTTTTGTTTCTGTGTTTTGTACCACTAGACTTGGTGGTGAGCAGCCACACTGCTGACTAAGCATGCATGCTGTGTTTGCATGAGTTCAGTTTACCATACAAGCAATTCATGTTCAAGTCCCTCAGCTGCAGGGTATTTTAGTCTTGCATTTTGGCAAGTTTTTGAAGGTAAAATTTATTACTTTGGGGAGTACCCAAAGGGCCAGGAGGACTAGAAAGACATTTTGTATAGTGGGCAGCAATCCAAGCTAAGTTTTTATTTTTGTTTGCATTTTTTACACTTTTTACTATACTTCATTTCTCCAAAACAGAATATCCCTCTTGGGTCAAGCACATACTCACCCATTGACTATTTACTAATTCCAGGTTTATCTTTTTACCAATTCCTACAGCAAGAATAAGGATTTCTGATCCAATGCAACTATAAAATACTCCCCAGTCTGTGTGAGCTTTGGTGAGTCCAAGATCTGAAAGGGTAGCACATAGCTTCTGGTACCACCAGAGTGCACCTTGTTTCAAGCCATATAGTGCAATGTTTAGCTTCCCAACTGGGTGGGAAAAATTCTGCCCTCCAGTGTAGCCCCCAGGGAGCTCCATGTAGATGTCTTCATCATCTCTGAGTTTGCCATTTAGGAATGCTGAGTGAAAATCAAAGACATCAATGTCCCAGTCATTGCATGCAGCAATTGCAAGTATAGTGCATAGTGATGCAAGTCTTGTGATGGGAGCATAGGTTTCATCATAGTCAACACCATATATCTGAGAGTAGCCCTTAGTGACTAGGCAGGCCTTGTACTTCTCAATTTCTCCTGCAACATTACACTTGATCTTGAAAACCCATTTGCATCCTACAATGTTTGCACCTTTGGGGCACTTGATGACATCCCCAAATATGTGCTTCCTCTAGGCTCTTTGATTCTGCATTTATGGCATTTTGCCACTTGGGCCAGTCAGCTCAGGATTTCACCTCATGTACTGTAGATGTTCCCATCCCATTCCACCACAGCTAATGCCAGTCATCCCTGCAGCATGATTTATGGTGTCCCATACTAACAAGAGGAGTGCATACAAAAATTTGGCAGTGGTTGTCAAGGAGTTCTTTCAGGTCAACTAGTGCTTTGAAGTTCTAACATTTCAAATCATCCCATGGGTGCTTCATGGGATCAGCAGTACAGTGTACCTCTCTTCCTATCAAAGTGTCATAGAGTCCATGCTACGTAGTTACCTGCTAGTTCCATAAATCATCTAGACTGTCACTCCCCACATTTACTTGGGATAGTTCACCTCCATAAATGGCCAACCATTCATGCACTCCCAACATCGCACGCATCGCACTGCATATCCTGTGTCATGCATTATCCTGTGTCGCACATTATATATTGTGTACTGCACATACCTGTGTGTATCGCACACATTATTTTTTACCCAAATGGAGTGCCATACATATCTGTCCCCTCACCTTACCGGACTTTGGCAGCGGTATGCACAATGTACTTGCTCCACCTGCATAGTACCTCGCAAATACCGCTCATCTCGCAGTGGGATACTCCGATTCTACCTCCGTCTCACTACTCCTGTGTGGGGTGACCTGGAGTGACCGTGACGTAAGAGCATTTACAAGATCCCGTAACCGTCTTTCTGCTTCTCCGGGGCATCGTTCTTCGGGGAAGAATGGAAATCCCCATGTAGCAATCATAATACCGATGGTGGCATAGATACTCGCCTCTGATGTGGCAGATGCCACCAACACACCGTTGGACACGGAGATCGTGGAATGATTCACCCCCACACCGAGGAATCATACCATGGGACTGGCTCACTGGTTGCTGTGATAGAATAACACGGTATCACGTACGACATGAGCTTGCTTGGTATCAGGATATACAATATTTCAGATACGAAAGAGTGGCATGGAAAGTGGGGTGAGACGGCCTCACACGCATTCGGTCCGTTCAAAAAATGAAAAAGCTATGAGGGCGACCATTTTTGTGCGCCTGACAGTCCGCGGTGCTTCGAACCGTTCACGTGGATGAACAGGAATAAGGTTCGAGAAAATGTCCAAGAAGATAAACGGAAAAAGGGCAATGATACGGAGATGCAACTTCGTAAGGGTGGGTTACATTGCTTCGTCCAATCCAGCAGCGCAGAGCCCACACCCAATACATTCCAGACAAGCTATTTGGGTCGATGGATGAGCATAGAAGGGCAAAATACGAAGAGTGGGACCTTACCGAGACCACCGCAACATGCGCACAGGTAGCACGGACAACAGAGCGGATTCTCAAATGCACCTTTGCAACGTAACTCAGCCAGTCCATCCCCACCCATAGAAGGTGACAGGACCCACCTCTGCAGCACCAGAAACTAAGCATAATGGCAGCTATCACCACCAGGAACAACCCCACGAAAATGACAATGAGGTATACTACACGCGAAGGACAACCGTCAAATCCAGCTTTAACGACAGAGAACCCATGAAACTCAGAAATACATACATTTGTTGTTCGTGAAGCTCGATCCACTCGATGAAGACTGTCGTTTAACCAAGGACAATGGGTCACCGTCACCTCCGAACACCGCTCCAAACAGATCCATGTCTGTCATGCACCACACGAGGATGATGCCTCCGAGAACGAGGAGCGTGAGTAGGATAGGACCCAGCATTTTCCGTAGTCGTGCTTTGTGGCATGTACGGTGGGAGCGGGCTTGTGAGCACCGACAAGGTGCTTGGGACTCGTCGACATAGTTATAGTAGTCGATTTGACAGCGGGAGGCATGGGTTCCGCCGCATTTTTCGTCTGACGGGTAGAGTGAGTCGTTAAAATGGGCGGGCATGGCACTGGCGGTGGGCTGTTGCAAGACGGGGATCATCGCGGCGGAGGGTGTTCAGTATGGAGGAAGCAAGTAGAAAGGTGAGAAATAGGACGGCCAGGTGGCTGTTGCCATAATGCCAAGAGACACTGCGGATAATCCGTTTTTACCAATCGACACCCTACTGCGGGGCCACATCGCTGGAGCACCGCCTCGTGTTTGCTGGCAGCACTGACAGATATTTCCGAGCAGGATATACTGCTATTACATGGCTTGAGAACTTACAACACGTCGAGGTATCTACACAGGCCTGCTAATACACCGACCCCAAGTAGAGCAGCGCCAATCCATTTCTGTTCCATAGACATTCTATTCTCACCCAATTCCCCAGCAGCATCGATGGCGGCAACATCCTCCGCTGAAAGAACTGTGCAAAGATGAGATACCCATCCTATCATCCACCCAGAAACAACTCACCGATGTCCCCCGCAGCAAGATAACCTTCCAATCTTAACTTCTTGGAGCTCGTGCTGCGCGAACCGGTGAGCATGTCAAAGCAGCATCGCATCACGACGTATACAGGAAGCTCACGTGACAACTACAGCGCCTTTTGCTTTGACCCATGCGAATAAGACTTGGTCCGTCGTCGCACCAAGTTTCGTAGCGATCTCGTTTAGAGGTTGATCCAGCGGTCCACCTGGCATCTTCGTAATCGGGCTGTGAAACGAGGACGAGTGTGAGAAGACGATTCCGATGCTGAGACGATTGAAAGTCGTCACGCACATAAGCGTGCTGTATGCTTCAATGACGATTCCGTTCGCAGCGGCATATTCAAGAACAGGACGCTGGCGATGGTATACGTATGGGTGAAGCAAGATCTGATGTGGGACCGGCAGTTGTTCGAATTCATTGGAGCGACAGCAATGGCGGGACACACCTGATTTACTGCAGGCTTGACCTTTGCGGATGCGAGCAACACAGCGAGATCCTTGGCATCGAAATTGCTCACGCCGATGCTCCTGCAGGAATACCAGACGACGAGTACGTGACCAAGCCGTATTACATCAGTATCATTTGTGCATACACAAAAGCGGGGTGTTAGTGCATGACCACGTACTTGGCCAATCCCGCTTCACGGACTTTCTCCATCTGCGCCCATGCTGTTGGAATATCCGGAATGGCAAGACGAGGATGGTGGATGAGGTATAGGTCTACGTAGTCCACACCAAGCTAATGGAAATGTCATCGAAAACAGAGCCCTTGTTAGAACGCGAGCGACTCACTCACATTCGATAAGCTGTTCTGGATGGAGGTGGCGATATCTAGTCCGTTGGTACCTGAGAATTTGGTGGTGACGAACACGTCCGATCGCGAGAGTCCACTCTCGTGTAGTGCAGTACCCGTCTCGAATTCGTTTCGATAGGATTGAGCAGTGTCTACACGTTATATGGCGACAACAGTTCAGTAATGTCAGACTTGGCAAACCCTGAAGTACTGTGGTGTGTGTACACACCAATGTGGTTGAACCCTGTCTCCAGCGCTTGGTCGACCTGGTCGATAGTAGCTTGACCGTTGCCCAGTGTCCACGTCCCAAACGCGATACCAGGGATGTAGTATCCTAACAACACATAAGCAGAGTCTTGTACTCTCTTATGAGCGAAACTAACCAGAATTTAGACGAATGGGATCCCAGGGCATTTCTTCAAGTCGAACAACTAAGGTGACAACTATACAGAGATGAAGGCCGCAAAGCGCACATACGGCGGATGGGAGGAACACGTGGAAGCACGATCACACGCTCATGACTCAGTAACTCAATCATGTCTCGTCCACGCCGGCACCATCCGTCGTACCAGGGGCGCCATCCGATGCAAGTTGAACTCCAATTTCGACCGTACCAGGTGCAGGGAACCATCCCCACCTCGCCAAATCCACCCTGAACCCGCCCGTCCTTCCAACCACCACCTCCACACCTTCCGCCTCTAGAGCCTCTCGTTGTATCTGTGCACCATTTGTTCCAGGCCCACGCGACGATATCGTTTCGGCCGAAGATATGACTCTTTGCCATGGTACCAGAGGTTCGACGTCACGAGAGAGGAATTTGAGAGCTCGAGGGGACAAGGTCATACGTATGTGAGGATTTGGGATGTGGTTGGAAGAATACAAGGCAACATATATACTAACCTTGGCCAACGAGTCGGGAATAGTTAGGCATACCGATTAGTTTGGCGATATGTCCTATGAAAGACTTGTCAGACACAGTCAATCTTCGAATGTCGCGCATACGAAGGAATGACATGAGTAGTGATGACGTGAAGGCATACGAAGCAGCACATAAAGATGGGCAACATACCATAGGTAGTGACGCGTTGGTAAGGAATCCTGTCCCGGTGGCATAGAGATCAGACATACAGTTTGCTAGAGGTGGCGAATGCTACCAGTACCGTCGTACAACATGATAGACCTGTGCAAGTAACACCGGATCGGGTGATGGTGATGAGTTATCCTGTCATGAATCCAAGGATGTTTCGTACCGCTGCATGAAATTCAGCACTGTCCATTGTGGTCTTACCAGCTTGGGGATGAGTTGGGGTTCACCACAAGTCTCGACCTCAGATGTTTTGGGAAGAGGCAGTATGAATGTATGGAAAACCACACTTCATACTAGAACAGGGCCGGCGGCGCCGGCAGGCACTTTGTTTCCCACCCCGCTGCCCACGTGGCACACACTACACGCACTAGTCACATTCATTACATAATATACAAAGTAGAGAAACCTAACCTTACACTATCGAGGCAAGCAGTGAACTACAAATCCATTGAAACACATGTTGAGAATGCATTCTGGAATTATGGTAGCATCTCAGAGCTTTGCCCAGAGGGCTCAGAATTTCTCCCCAACCTTCAGAATTAAAATTCTGATGTCACTCTGCTTACTAATTACAGTACTATGTATAAATTTTCTGCACTGTTATTTTCCACCTCAGTGACCACTTCATGCACTGAGAACTCATACCTTTGTTAGGTTATGAGCTCTGTTCTTGTGCTCTAATTCTGAAAGAGTTATTACACAGCAACAATACCCACTATGGTGAAAGACAATCATTCCTTAGAAGTCCCAACCCTAAATGTGGACAGAAGCAACTGGCTATACTACAAGGCTTTGGTTGAATTGTTACACTGTGCAAACAACTTGCTGCACTTGGACAGTCTATCACAGACAATGACTTCACAGCCATCATTCTCAGTTCACTTCCTGCTTCCTGCAACTCCAACCTCACAGCTATGATGTCTTCAGCCATGGTCATGCAAAAGGGCCTATCTCTGGACTTTATAATCAAAGTAGTTTCCAATGAATGTGATAGGTACCAAACATGGATGAAGAGGGGCAACACCAGGAACTCCAAAAATTCTGAAGATGCAGCTTACTCAGTGAAGGATGGAAAGAAGTCTACTTGTGAAAATTGTGGAAAAAAAGGTCATGCAAGAGACCAATGCTGGGAAGAGTGTGGCAGAAAGGCTGGGAAAGCATCCAGGTGGTTCCAGTACAGGGCAAAAGGGAAAGAGAAGGAGAAAGGCTCTGGGAAAGTGGCCACTACAGTCAGCACAACAGCCAGCTTAAGTGCACAGACCAGCACAGACTGCAAACCCAATGGAATTTGGCTAGTGCACCCACAGGACAATGATTGGCTCACAGAAATTGTGGAGGAAGAAATTCTGAACCCCCAGGACATCATTAGAGCCAGTTCAGAAACTGGAAATTCTGCAGAAGTCCTTTGAATTGCAAAACTTACACAAATAAAGAAAGTTAATTAGAGCAATGATTTCAGACTCAGATTGAAGCTCTGTTTGAAAACAACCTCTCCTCAATTGCTATGGATCTTGACTATTATGATTGTGATCTGGACCATCTTTGGCTTGCCTGGGTTTCTGTTGCATCTCTTGTAGCTCTTGCAACCCAATATACACTTGACACCCTTTCTCACCCTATGCCTCCCAAGTCCTCTGGTCCAAAAGCTTTGTGGAACCCTGCAGAAGTTGATGTGCTCATCAAATACCTTCATCACCATCACTTTGAAGCAGGAGACAATGGGAACTTCAAATCCAATCTGTATACCTCTGCTGCTGTGCATATATCCAAATTCCTCACAGAAGGGCTGCCAAAAACTAGAGATATGGTGAAAAATAAGTGGGTCTCACATGTAAGCAATGTTGTTACTGTAATTGTCCAAGGATGCTGATTGCCTTGATCTTTAGATTCAGAGGATTTATCATGATATTGAGGGATATCATCTCAAGTCTGGGCATCATTGGGACAACATGCATGGGGCTGAAGTACAGGGCATGTTTGATGAGCAAGTATTTGATGATTGTGTGAAGGTATTTTATCTGTGCAACATATTCATTGATGTTGAACTGATAAATATCTTCGTCCATGTAGACTTTTCCCCAGATCCATCCCTTCAAACAGTCTGGGTGGCAGTACTACAACCTTGTGGCTGACATAATCCCTAACAGTGGTGCACATGGTACCAATGTGTTTACTCCAAGTACCTCCCAGATTGCTACTGGTTCTGTGGGCAACAACACTGAAACCCTGCCTGCACTTGATGGAGAACAACAAGAGACCAGTGCCCCTCCCCCCCTGGAACCAACTGCTACTGACAGACCCAAACCTCTCCAGGGCATTCTGAGTGGTGCAAGTCACTACCCAGGGACAATTTTCCCCCCCCCCTCATCCCCTCTGCATCCCATTCTTGGGACATCTGATGTGCAGTCCAGTGCAGCATCCCAACAGTCCCAGCCCTCCCCCAGCATTCTGCCATCCAGTTTTGGGAGATCCAATGCACAATCCAGCATGTCCACCTCCACTTCACTATCCAGCTCCACAAAGCGATCCCATATGATGATGGAAGGTGACAACAAAGCAACATCTGCATTCCCTTTTGCCAATGCATCCAATATTTCTGTCTCCACCCCCAACAGGTGTGTGCAACTTTCATTGGCCATGGACTCTGCTAGGAGTTCCCATTCCCACTGTTCCAACAAAGTGCCTGGTGTGTCAGACCTGATGGTGGCAGGTCTTCAAGGCTCAATCAATTATCTGACATCATCGATCAACACATTGCTGACCTCAGCTGTTGAGCAAGCTTCCACCACACATGTACATGCAATCCACTTACTTGATGGGGAAGACAAGGACTTTCCCTGGAATTTACAGGCATTTGTTCAATCTGCAATTGCCCAAAGCCTGGGCTTTGCCAATGTATATCTGACTACCCCCAACAAGGAAGATTGCTTGGAGTATGTTGAGTTTGAGTACCAACTTAAGTTCAGGGTTGGTGGGAGTAAATAGTACTCGCATATGTGGCTTCCAACTATACTTTGTATCCATTGATTGCAGCATTGTCTTATTTTTTTTGCTTCTTAAATGTTGTGTGAATGAGGAAAGTAAATGTATAGCAGTAATTGGAGATGCATGACAAAGTAAAAAAACTACTACAAAGACATATTGTCAGTGCTGCTCACTGAACCACTGTCATTGTCCAATGAAGCCAAGTTGCCCTCATGAATCATATCCTGATAAGTGTCCCACATTTGTTGTGCAATCTGGTCATGCAGGGCACGAGCTGCATGCAGTGCTTGCACATCAGTACTGTTGGTGTCTTCAGTGTCCAACATTGACACATCCAATCCTCCACCTCCACCCTCCTGAACCTCATGGTCTTCTCACACCACAGGACCCTTGTCAGTATCATGTGTGCAGATAAAATTGTGGATTGCACACAGTGCAGCTGGAATTCAGGCTTGGATTCATATGTTGTATTCAGGACTGAGGAGGAGGATACAAAAATGCCACTTGATCATGCTGAAAATGCACTCAATTACATTTCGAGCAGATGAATGGCATAGGTTGAATAGTTCTTCCTTGTTTCTGGGCCTGCTCAGTTCAGCACAGTAATACTACACATAGATATGTTGCATGCACCTCAATTTTGTATGATGCCACTCAGCAAGGTGGTAGCAGATACCACAGTAGGGAACCAAGAGTTCCAGGCAGTGGGGGAAGCTGGCATCTGCAAGGAAATACTTACCCTCAGGAATAATCAGATCTTTTGAGCATGCATCTTGGTAAATACATGCATCTGTTGCCAAACCCTCCCATCCAGTGATGGCATATGTGAACTTGAGTTGGAAGTTGCAGGTGAATAGGCAGTTTTGTGAGATGAAGCCTTTGTGATTGCAATAAGGTGCCTGGTCACTTGCTCCCAGTGCAGCATGGATATGGCTTCCATCCAGCACACCAATTGCATCCCAAAAGAACAGCCAAAACCTTGTATCCTCTCTAATTCCAGACTGAACCTCATCCACAGCAGGCATGTGAATGTATGCATCATAGAATGGTGATGAGGAAAAAATGAAAATGAATTTGCAGAAGTATCCATATGAGCCCAACATCAGTTACAGGAGAACAATCAGTAGACTAAATGGATGTACTGAGAAATTGTGTCATTCAAACACTGAAAGCACTCACCAACATGCCTGATAGTTAGGCCAGTGATACTCATGTATAGGAAGATTGCCAGCTGTTCTTTGAGTGAAATGAATTGAGAATTTCTGTGGCCCATCTCTCAAAGATGGTCCACAAGAAGTGCAAACACATCAGTGTGTATGCCAAGTTCACATCAGATGTGTTCCTGGTGACCAGTAAGAAGTTCAGTGACCCAGCCATCACCAGTAAGGGCTGAAGTATAGTATGGTTCTGGTCTCTTTCTGATTGGAGTGGCTTGTTGAGTGGTAGCACAAATGATGATGCTGACAATGAGACCCATATACTGGATCATGTATTGTTGGTGAAGTTCCTCGAAGCCACTATCATCAACAGCCTCATCCATAATGACAATAAGCTGAGGCTGACATGATTCAAACTCAGAGCTGGCAATGATCCAGACAGCCACACATACACAAATTATCAAAGATGGACTTCTGCAGAATTTCTGGTTTCCAAACTGGCTCTTACTGATGAAGAAGATGCATACATGAACACCTTCAACCATGTTCTTCTTACAGGCAAAAGCCTAAATTCCATAGAGGATACCATTCTGTTTGACTCTGGTGCTTCATGTCATATGTCCTCCTACCACAGCAAATTCCTTGACTATAAGCCAATCATACCCAAACCTATCACTGCTGCTGATAACCACACTTTCCATGCCATTGGGAAAGGCAATCTCACAATCTCACTCTCAAACAGCACTGTGCAAACCCACATTTGACTCAAGGATGTGCTCTATGCTCCAAAAATGGGAATTACACTCATTTCTGTCAGCAAACTTGATGTTGCTGGGTATGCTGCATTATTTTAAGACAAGTGTTGTCAAATTTTTGATGTAGCAAAATTCTGATGCAAAAAGGGCTCTACTGCCTCAAATGAGCTTGTTGCACCTTTGCAGGCCTAGCTAAGGCCATGGAATCCCTAACTATGGAGGAGATACATGTCAGGCTCAGCCACATTGCTCCTGAAGCCATCTGGTGCATGCTGAAGGATGGAACAATCACCAGAATTATGTAAGCTGGATGAAGCACATTCCACCATGGGCACATGCAATTCATGTGAATATGCCAAAGCAACTCAGAAGCCCATTGGGAAGGAGTGTGACCCACCCCACTGTGAACACCTTGGTGATGAAGTCCACTCAGACCTCTGGGGACCTTCTCCAG